CTATTATTCTTGCTTTACTTTAACCAGAAATGATAATGAGAATATTGATTTGTGTGTCTGTGTGTCTGTGTGTGTGTGTGTCTGTAGGTGGAGATCAGGGGGTTCTCAATAGTTTCTTTAACACCTGGGCGACGGCAGATATTTCTAAACACCTTCCCTTCATCTACAACCTCAGCAGTATCGCCATCTACTCCTACCTGCCAGCTTTCAAACAGTGAGTGCACACACACATGCACACACACGCAAGCACACACACACATACACACATAGTGACAGTGCATCCAGGGTTTCATCACTTATTCATGTTTAGTCATCCTATTGCCTTGATTCTGTAGCTTTCCCTGAACAACTTGACTTTAGTGCATTTGAGTGTTACAGCTTCTCCAAGGTCAGTTCAAATGTTGTGCGTGTGCGCGTGTGTGCGTGTGTGTGTGTGTGTGTGTCGAATTACAAGAAATTTAAAGCAGGCACATCACACATTCTGACAAAGCCTGCCTCAGAACACAGGAGCTACTGTACTACTACTTGCATCATGAACAATATCTTCACAAAATATTTCTGAAATGAATTTTGAATCAGGCTTCTTGAGAAATATTTATTAAAGACCACAAGAGGGGGGTTGCAGGTCTTAGCCTGTCTCTCAATCCCTCCCTGCTTCCTCCTTTGTCTTTTACATTCCTTTTTGTCATCTCACCGTCCTGTCACCTACTTTTTTTTTCTTTTTTTTTTTTGGACAGGTACGGCCATGACGCAAAGGTGGTGCACTTCCTGGGCCAGTCGAAGCCATGGCACTGCTCCTATGACGCTCAGAAGGGCCAGGTCAAAGGTCACTCCCTGTCTTCTGACACGTGCCACCTACACCCGGACTACCTGCTCATGTGGTGGCAGGTGTACGCCAAATCCGTGGTGCCTTTGCTGCAGCAGGCCTACGGGGACACGCCGTTCAACAGCGGCTTCGTAGAGGCGAGCGAGAACGTACGTCAGTGTGTGGGAAAGAAGAGTGTTTGGTTTTAGGTGTGGCCGTGGTGGGCATGCACGTGTTGAAACATAAATGAGAATGGCTGTGAATATGTGTGTGTTTATCTGTTGTAGCAACGTTGCATAATCGTCGTGTCCTGACTGTGTCGAAACCTCTAATCACTAGGTGAACTATGCTTTCTCTGCCATGTGTGGAAATCTATCATGGTGTGGAGTTACCAAGCTGTGAAAGTGCGGCATACTGAAGCTTTAAACTCCAGATACAAAACGCTGCCTAGCTTTAATCAGCACAGTTTCAAAGTAAAAGCTGATTGGTTTCACATTCCTCAGCACCAGTCTGTTGCCAAAAGTCATGTTTGTTGCTGCCGGTATTGTCAGTCCTCTCGGCAGTGCCGTGACTTCTTGAATAGCTCGCTGTCCTCAACGAAATGCGCAGGGTGCCAGGCCGGCAACGACCGTTCAGCAATTAACAGAGTTGTAGGAAGTTGCCACACTGTCTGTCGTAACAGCACTGCAGTGAAATAGCTGTGAGTTAAGTCAAACTAAAGAATAGCTGCCAACACTTGCAGCTTTGCCCAGTTGCCTGAAGCTGTGCCATATTGTGTCACACTGATAAGTTTTTACAGACGAGTCCCTGACTTTGTGGAGAGAGTTTTTAAGTCTCTCCACTGGCTGAGACTGTTCACCAAGAAAACTTTGAAATTCAGGACTATTTTTCAAAAGATAATCATAGTGATCTAGATGTAGATCCAGATTTATTATTTTATTAGACACTATGCCATCAATGTGACCAAGAGTGGCAATTGCACAATGAATTTCTCTTCATTTCCCAAATTTCTCTTGAGTCAGTTTCTTGAAAGAAACCTGAGAACTGAGCGGAAATCAGTGAACTTACCCATTTATCTTACACAGCCATATCTATCTAAAGTTTGTTGACATTAGCTAATCTTAAAGCTGTGGACAAGCTGCTGAAACCATAACAGTAACTGCGTTTCAATTGCTTATGAATTCTAATTTTTCATTTGCAAGAGGAAGGTTTTGTTCATTTTTGTGTCAGAATTTATGTAGTTGAGTTTTAAAGTCCTTTGAACTCATCTGCTGAAGGAGAAAAGTTTCCGTGTGTCACTTTAAATCAGAGTATAAGACGTGGGCATACGAGTGTGTTTTTGTGAGATCACTACGACTAGTTTGGGGCCCTGCCGTGATCCGATGTGCCGCTTCCACACGTGTAACGTGGACACTGGAAGCCTCCGTTCATACACACTGAGCATGGACTTTATTGTGAAGTTGGAGACATATGTCCAGCAATTAAACTTTTAAATAGATTCATAGATTCTGTGTTTGTCAGTGAGAGAGAAAGAGTAGATGTACTAATCAGACACAGACTAATACTCAAAGCAGAGCATTTTTATGTCTTAATGCATGTGGGGGGGTGGGGGGGGGTCTTTAGTGCACATCCACTGGAGGAAGCTCAGAGACGAACTCAACTCTTATCTGCTGCAAGTGTGTTGCTAAACGTCTTGTTGCACTTTGACTCTGCATTAAACTGATTGTGTTGAGGGCAGAAAAGAGCCAGTTCCCCTGTGAGGAAATTCCAGCTGAGGGAAAGCCAAGCATGGCTGAACTTGGGGAAACCAGTCCTTATAAAGTATTGCTGCGGTTTTATCAAATGATTCATTCATTCTCTCTCTCTCTCTCTCTGTCTGTCACACAGGGTAAGCTTCATGAGGATGTGGGAGAGCAGCCTTCTCACTCTGCTCCTCCTCCTCCTCCTCCTCCTCCTCCTCAGAAGGCTACATCAGAGGAGAGGAAGCAGCGCTGGGAAGCGGGCCAGATCGACTACATGGGCGATGACTCCTTCGCCAACATCGAGCGAAAGCTTGACTCCTTCCTCAAGTAGCAGTCGGGCGAGCGAGCTCCACAGACAGAGGGAGCACCGTCTGAAGCTCTGTGTGGGTGGGAGATTTAACCACCGCTCAGCCAATCACAGAGGCTTGATGAGCGGGTGACTGAATGAATGCCTCTGTGCAACTTTCAGCCTCATACTCTGCATCCTGTCATGTGTGTAAATGACAGAGAGTATAAGTTTGACACAATTCCCATGCACTCATACCATTCATTCTTGATATTTTGGGAAATGTGCTCATTTGTTTTCTTGCAGAGAATTAGATAAGAAGATCGACACCACACACGTCTGTATGGTAAATATGAAGCTTAGCTTAGCATAAAGACAGGAAGCAGGGGAGAACAGCTTGCCCCAAATTAAACCTTTCAAAACCTGCAACCTCAGCACTGTGCACATTACTCTGTGATTTGGTCTCATAGTGCTCTATGTGAAAACCATGTTACATGTTTTTTTTTATCCAGCTGTGGGTTACATCTTCAAACAGATTTATGTAATCTCACAGATGTTTGCTATCTGCTCAGAGTGATAAAATGTTTACCCAGGGCAAAACCGGTGTCTATATCCAAATGTATTTACAATGACAGCGCCGCTCAGCTCTGCACTTGTTCTGTGCTGAGCTGTCGGCCATGATAGACAGAGGCTGTGGGTATAAATGTTGCATTTAAATGTTGGTTTTGACCCGGGCAAACATTTTATAATTCTGGGAGAACAGTAAACGTGTGAGTTCCTGAAAATATCTTTGATGATATAATTCACCGCTGAGATAAAAAAACAAAAAAAAACAAACTGTGCAGCGCTACGGGGCTGAAGCACAAAGTAAAGTATGGAGTGCTGAGGTTACAATGTGTCCACCTACTAGCCCCGCTGAACTTCACTAATTAACAGGTTGTACTTTGTTTAATTTATACAAAAACGAAAGTCTATAAATTACAATGTATATACTGGATTATTTCTTATCCAGGCACAGCAACTCCCTCTGAGCCTAGCGACTGCTCCAGGCCAAGAAATAGTCTGGCACATAAATACTTTAACAGTGAGTTTTAACTTCCACACTTTGGTTTTTGTATGGATTAAACAAGGCACATACAATGTTAATTAGTGAGCTTCAGAGGTGCTGGTAAGTGGAATCTTTGCTGTTTCCAGTCTTTCATGCTAAGCTGCAGGTGGTAGCTTCATATATCTTATCCTCTCAGCCAACTCTTGACAGCAGAACGAATAAGCGTGCTTCCCAAAATGTCTAACTATTCCTTTTTAAGTGTTCTTGTGCATCTGATGGAGATGGAGACATAGTCCCGAGTCTTCCTAACCTGTGGAAAATTTCAGCAACAGAAACTGAAAAAATGGCGGGCCAACCCTGTGGCAGCTGAAGGGAAATCAATAAGTTTAAAAAGTTGTTTCTGGATTTTACCACAACACCTGTCCTGCAATAAACCTCTCTACCTAAATCACTTTAAACTAAATATGCAGCAACTGGCTCACCTCCCTCTCGCAGTCCATGCTCTCCTTCTCAGCCAGCTACGACAATCTCACTTTAATCTTGAGAGTGTTCACCTCACCAGAGTACATAGATTATCCTCCCTATCCGTGCCTCTGACACTCACCAGCTCCCTGTGACTTCAGCATTGTAATGTCTGGTATTGTATTAAGGCTAACCCTGTTGTGTTGTATTTGCATGGCACAGAGTTAAAACGTGAGTCAGTACTGAAGTTCTTCCACCCACATCCTAAAGTGATGTCGTCAGTTTTGTGTGTATTTGTGCAGGATTAAACACTAGTGCACTTCCCCCCCAGACATCTGTATATGTGCCCTGCATGTTACATCCCTGCCAGACCCACATCAGTGTCTCTTTGTGCCATGACCTGGGTTTCATCACTTCCCGTTTGTAGTATTACCAGCTGCCTTATTGCCGCTCACTGTTTACAAAACCTAATTTACTGTAACTGCTGCTAGTAGCACAACAAACTTTAACTTTGTCGTGCCTCTCCTTTCCTGTTGCCAATACCTCCTTTACTTCACTCCAGCTTGTGTGCTCTTAAACTACAATCTACAATGCCTAACAATAACTAAAATACAATCCTTACTCCGTCATACACTTTCCTACAAGAAGCCGACAAGGTTGAGCGAAAAGTCCACATGTGATTTTATTAATCATGATGCTAAATCCTGAACAGCATGATGGTGGAAGTGGAGCATAATGTAGACCTGTTTCCTAGCTGTTAACTGTCCATCCTTGTTAAAGCGCTAATAAAGACCTGGTTAAAAACATTGTTTATCCAACCTTACTTCATTTGTTTCATTTTGATTGTATGACTGTAACAAGTTATAACAACAGCCCCAGATAACGTATTTAAATGTCTTGTTTTGTGCAACCAACAATCCAAAACACAAAAGATATTCAGTTTACAACATAAAACAGTACAAGTAGAGTACAAGCAGAAAATCTTCCCTTTTAAGTAAGTACAACCAGCACATATCATTTTCACCTTGAATGTCACACATAATCTCTGAAAGCTGCTCTGGTTAAATACCGGTACAGTATCGGTAGTCTGCATTTCTTTCTGCAACAGCAGGTTGGTATTTATTTCCTCATCCCGTACAAAATCTGTATCGGCCACCTCCATGCCTCAGCACAGCTCGGATCAAGACAAACGAGTGGTATATCACAACTGAATGAAAATTAAAGATTGCCAAGTGGTGCATCTTGTAAATGAATTTGTATCAAAACAATCATTAAATAAAAGCAGAAATAAAACAGAACTTAAAACGTTACTGACCAGCTATAAAAAATTAAACCTTTCAAAATATGAACAAAACATCAACAACTGTGTGCAAAAACTCTCTGCTACACTTCAGATGTGACCTGTCTGACTCCGAAGTGAACAGTACAACACAATGTTTGTGTTGTTTTCATGTTAACACATTATTCCTGGCCAATTACAGCTCCATCAGAGCTTTAATGTCATCAATGCGAGAGGTTTTCCTGTCGGTGCCTGTGGAGCCGAACGCCTTCTCCACCAAGTCCTGCTTCTGCCTCTGGATCTTCACCATGTTCTCCTCGACTGAGTTCTTCACAATGAACTGCAGCAAGAGACGCACACAAAATAAACATACACAAACAAACAAAATATTCAAGTCAGTGATCCTTCCAATGTACCTCTCTCTATTCTAAAACTGATGGATATTTTAAAGTCATTTTGAAATAAGAAATCATTCCAATTGTCACATACCTGAGCAGGAATTTGAGATACATACATACAGTGTAAACAGCTTTTCAGTCTTCACAATGTAAAATAGAAACTATAGAACATGCTGCAAAAAATGTGATGCCTTGCCACCATCAAGAAATCCACCAAGCTTTCACTGCAGACCCTAATACAACATTATGAGCACACAGAGGCCCAGTTTTCTGACCTTGGTGACAACGACGTTCCTCTTCTGGCCCAGACGGTGGCAGCGGTCAATACACTGCTCCTCAGTAGCCGGGTTCCATGCCTAAAACCCATTCATATAGTTAAGCTTAAGAACACACAGGGATCGCATGCATCACTTATGATCTCACCTCGAACAAAAATCAATCAAAATTAATCAATAGATTCAAAATAACATTCAATTTAAATGTAATATAAATGTAAAATTAACCTTAACCCAAAGGTCCGGTGCAAAAACATTTAAATATACACTATCTGAAACACTATAAACTGAGTCTTCAGCGTGGCTGTATGTGCAAATGTGCTCGGTTCCTCGCCAAAATAAATACTTACAGGGTCCATAAGGAAAACACGAGAGGCCGCGGTCAAGTTAAGCCCCACCCCTCCAGCTTTGAGTGACAGCAGCATGATTGTGGGGCTGTCGGCTGCAGAACTCTGAAACTCCTGGATCACCTGGGACCTCCTCTTTTGGCTCATGGTGCCGTCCAAACGCACAAAACTGAAGCCATGCTCTCTGGTGCACAACGAGGAAAACAAATGAAAGAAAATGAAAAGGAACAAAATTTAGAAAATCTACTCAAGAGCAGATCACACTGTATGCTATTACAAAAGCTGTTGTAACAGATAATTGTGAAGTTTTGTTAGTGCAGTTAGTCCCATAATGTCTTTCATCCATCTCTAATCACCACTTTAGTGGGCCACTATCCCCTGTGTGGAACTCCTTCGTCATACAGGTTATAGTTAATTTCATTGTGGATGTTATTAAAAACAGGGAAATGTGGAGAAATTTTTAATTCTGCACTCTTTTGCTACAACAACTACACTACCCTCCCCGCACTCACTGTGTGTGTGTGCTACCTGAGTGGAGTCTCCAGTTTGGTGAGGAAACGTGTAAACTGAGAGACAACCAAACACTTGATGCTGCTGTCTTCACCTCGCAGCCTGAGCAGGTTTCCCATCAGCGCCTGCACCTGCGGAAACACAAACAAACGTCAAAGGACGGACGACACCACTCTCACATGGTAGCATACTAGTCCATTTTCCATCGTTGCCTTTTGTATTTAAGCATTTCATTTTCCGTTGAAGACTTAATTTTTTAGAAAACTTTGATTGTTCCTGCTGATACCGATCATGTTACAAGCTGCAAAATTAGACCAACAAGCAAATAAAATATGAAATTAATTAAAATTATTAATAATTTTCTGCAGTAATATGTAAAACTTAAAAATGGTAACAATATTTTGTCACATACAGAATGTTAAAGGTTTAAGGGGTGGGGCAGTTGACAGCAGATTTTACTTTCAAAACCTATTTATTGGCTGGCCAGTTGAATATGCTTTTATCGCTACCATTGAACTTTTACAATATATATCTCAGCCATATACAATGTCAAGAAAAATAAATACCTTTGGTTTGTGAAAAATAAATGTTACTTCAACTCTAACCAGTTGAAAATGTAAAAAGTAAAAAATAAATAAAACAATAACATTAAATAAATAAGAATAATAAATAAACATATAAAGATCAGCTAGATGGGGCTGTAGAGTCAGTGGCAAAGTTTGCACCCAGGCTCAGAGCACTTGATTTTCAGCGTTATATAGTTTACACTCACATCACATCTGATTACAAGTGTGAACATTAAAATATTATTTTTTACCTAACCATCATCATTTAGGAGTCAGTAAAAGGCTTATGATAGGCTACCTGACTAGCGTCTTCTTCATCTGTTGTCTTTCTCTGGCCGCCACTGCTAAATGAATGTAGAGGAAACACTGCTCATTATGTACAGTGTACCTTTGAGCTTGTCCTCCACCTCTCAGAATTTGTGCTGTTCTCTTCCTCCATTTCCTCCTGTGGAAACTCCACCAGCTCACTGGTCTTGATCTCACTTCGACAGAGAGGGCAGCGCGCCTTCTCCTACACACACACACACACACACACACACACACACACACACACACACACACACACACACACACACACACACACACACACACACACACACAAAAACAACACAGAAAGCATGGTAATAGGCTATACTTTCTCATTAGGGTGGCAGGGGTGTTATTTTTGTGTGTGTGTGTGTATGTGTGTGTGTGTGTGTGTGTGTGTGTGTGTGTGTGTGTGTGTGTGTGTGTGTGTGTGTGTG